TGAACTGAACTGAACTGAACTAAATTTCCAAGGAAAATAAACTATTCGCATCCAAGGAGGACATAAAGAAGGACTATAAAATTGTATGGAACCGAATGTGATACTACCCAGGTATTAACAAAAGGACTGAAGGGTGGACAATTTAATTTCATTTATTTAATTATTTAATTTTTGGTTTAATATTTGAAGAGCTCTGAACAAAGAGGGATACATTTAAATTGGTCTGTTGTTTTATTTAAAACAAGACGTCAAGAAGATGGAAATGATTCATGTGCACTGTACAGCACAGTCAACAACAACAAAAACACACCATGAATCTGTGCTGTTATTTATACTTGGATTTTACAGCATCAAGAGAAACAGAAAAAGTACAAACATATAAACAACAGTGGTTTATGTAGGGTTTGTGAAGACTTGTTTGGTTGCTCTTTTGTTTTTTAAAAGGTTGTTTGAACCAAATTACAAAGAGTGTGTATGTCTGAAACTTTACTTCAGTTAAAGCATAGGAAGAAAACTCTGCCTGTGTGAAGTGAATTTATATTTAAAATACAACTTTCTCATTATGAACCAGTAAAGTATTTGACCACATCACATTTCATCACATAATTCAGTTTTAAACAGGATTAAAAACATTAGAATAAAATGTAATTGTATGCAGGTGTGATGAATGAGGTCCAGTGAGTGTCATTTTGTCACCTCTCTCCATCAGGTAGACTCTTGTCCTGGTTATGAGAACAGCACCACTGCAGCACAGACACAAGACACAGAGGAGCAGGAAGACCTGGTGTGAAGTTACAGTCAGGTTAGAGCCTCTCACACTTAATGAAAGAAATAGATAAATAACACACAGACTCCAGATTTATAATTACAACTGTAACTTTACACAGGTTTCATGTGATCTTTTTAAGATGATGTTGAAGGCAAGGTGGGACTCACCTGGTGGAAACAGGAAGTAGAACATTGATTTCAGCTTTAAAGATTTTTCTGTTAATTTTCTACTTATTATTTTATTTAGCAGCTATGAAGACAGATAAAGTTTAAATCTGTTCCTTTGTTCTGATTGATTTTCCTCAGTTTTGTCTCTATGTGGATGAAATGTGCCACAGTGCAGTAGTTTATTAGTATTCAGGATGTTACTGATATGAAGATGCAACGACACAGTTTATATTGAAGAGGACCTTATCTTATATTTGAGCTGTCAGTCTCCAGGGTCTCTCATTAAATCATAATGGATTGTAGTCACTAAATTTGAAGTCCTTTCAGAATAAAAGCCCATCATTGATCGCTTGGGCAACACTCTTAATTATAATTTTAAGAATTTGCCAGTGCAATATTTCTAAGATTTAATTCAGCAGTATAAACCAATGACATGTCCTGAACTTAATCTGTGTAAAAAAACAAACAAACAATAGTTTCAATAATAAAATGTAAAAATAAAGTACCAAAAGTAAATTCAAATTTGACCAAACAGTGGATGGTGAAATGCTTTTTCACGGCCCTGATCCTCTGACGTTTTACTGCCCTCTACTGATGAAGCTCCAGTGTTGCCAGTTCAGGCTTGACAAATGTTTTCTGTTGTTGCGCTGTGGTTTGGAGGTTTGGTGACTCATATCCTGTGAGCTGGAATATTTCTCCATGGCAACAAATCACACCTGAGGTCCTTCACATTTCTTCCTTATACCTTTAAATTGTAACTCATTATTTTGTTGCTTCACCTTTTGGAGGGAATTTTTTTCTTCTCATCGTGTTGTAGTTTCCAAATGCTGCCAGTAGATGTAAGTAAAGAGTTATATTTTGTTGATATTACACCAGTTCCACTGTCCTCACTTCCTCTTCTGTCTGTGTATACAATATCTCCACCAGGTTCTTCTTCTTCCCTGAGTTTTCTTTAACCAGTTTTTATTATCAAAGCTGCTTTATTGTGAGTGATGAATCTATTTTTATTCTCATTTTTGAATTGTTTCTATTGCCTTACCTGCTCATTACAATAATCTGTGTTGTTCTTGTATGCTCTCCTCTACATACATTTTAATATATTGATATGAAAATGATTTATTATTATTTATCATTGAATGTACTATTTTATTCCATTTTAAATCTTTCTTTAATGTTAACTTTTCTTGCGTCTGTCTTTGTGTTTTGAAGGAGACTGTTTTGCATCTTTTTGAGACACTGAACTCTCTCCAACACAGAGGATGAAATAAAAAATGTCTTTTTCTTCTGTCTCTTTGAATCGTCTCTCTTGCACTGTGTTTACCTTTGCATAAACCACAAGTTACGTCGTAACTCCACCTTAAATCTGACTGTTGTAGCAGGTGATTTATACACACAGCACAGAGACCGCTCTCATCAAAATTACTAACAACCCTCTCATTGCTGCTGACTTTGGCCACATCAGCATCCTCATCCTCCCGGACCTCTCAGGAGCCTTTGACACAGTCTCCCACACCATCCTCATCACCCGCTTATCAGACTACTTTGGCCTCATCGGTTCAGCACTCTCCTGGTTTCAGTCTTACCTCATCAACTGAAAACAGCTTGTCACCATTGGAGGCTCTAGCTCAGCCCCTGCCCCAGTCAACCACGGTGTACCCCAAGGCTTTGTGCTTGGACCCCTTGGCTTCACCATCTACATGCTCCCCATTGGTCAGATCATCCGCTACCACGGTCTCAGCTTCCATTCATTGACGACACACAGCTTTATCTCTGCATTAAACCCACCCGGCTCCCCCCACAGTCACTTGTCAACTGCCTGCATGAAATCAAAATCTGGATGTCATCTAACCTACTCAAACTCAACAGCAGTTAAACAGAGCTCATGGTTGTGGCTCCCAAGGCCCTGCTCCGGATTGGTTGGAGATCTACACCTACTTCTGGACATCGACGGCTGCTCCATCTCCCCATCCCCGGAAGTCTGCAACCTGGGTGTCATCTTGGACTCAACTCTCTCATTCCAGGCACATGTCAAGTCCATCACCAATACTGCTTTCTTCCACCTCAAAAACATCTCTCGACTCCGGCCCTCGCTCTCTGACTCTGTCTGCCTTCATCACCGCCCGTCTGGATTACTGCAATGGAGTCCTGTTCGGGGTTCCCTGCAAAACCCTTTACATGCTCCAGTATGTCCAGAACTCAGCTGCCGGGGTTCTCATCCGCACCAAGCCCTGGCAGCACATTACCCCCACCCTCAACCAACTTCACTGGCTTCCGGTCAAAGCCTGCATCCAATACAAAATCTTCTCCCTCACCTTCAAATCCCTCCATGATCTCACACCCCATTACCTGTCTGCCCCTACACCAGCCTGCAATCTTTCGGTGATAGAGCATTCAGTGTGGCAGCCCCCACCCTCTGGAACTCTCTCCTGGAAGAGATCCACACAGACTCATCTCTGGACATTTTCAAAAAACTGCTGAAATCCCACCTGTTCACCAAGGCCTATGGCCTCTAGCTGCCTCATCTCTTAGAATCTCCTCCAATCTCTGCCATCCCTCTTCTGTCTCGTCTTGTTTTCATTTATTTGTTCTTTCTTTATTTTGTGTTTCTTTCCCTGTAAAGCAGCTTTGGGTACCTTGAAAGTTACTATAAAAATGCAAGTTATTATTATTATTATTGTTATTGCACATTCATCTACACACACCTGTTTACTGCAGCTTTTATTTTGCATTATTTTGTACTATTACAGACGGTGGCACACACACAACTAACCCTGACCTCAACACCTCTTGGAGATTTTGGAGCTGTGTATTAAGCTCATGTTTACTCAAACATCCTGTAATTCCCTCCTCAGTCGTCAGTATTTCCTTCTGATTATCCAGGTGCATGGAAATCAGCAGCTGCTGGATCAATCACTGCTGTTCTCCTGGCTCTCATCCTCCTCGCTGTCTTCCTGTGGATCAGGTGAGTAATTCTGTGTCACCATGATTATGTTCACTAATGCTTCTAAATGTATTAGTTAATTCACTCGATTGCTTTTCCTCCTGTCTAGAAGAGATAACTCCTTCACACAGCAGTGTAAGTGTGGAGAGAGACCTGACACCAGAGCACAGGTGAGAAAGAAGAGTTCAAGTTTTCCAGTGCAAAAGGAAATATGAATGTCAGACTGTACTTGTCCTGTTAAAGCTCATCTGAAAAGTGTTTTATTACTTGCTTTATTCTACTTTCTTCATGGCTGCCTTCTTGGTGCTGGGTGATATTTTACATCACCACAGTTGAAATTTCATTCAACTCCATTACATTGACATGGTGGTGAAAGTCTCAGTGATCTCAACTGCATGGCTGGATACCAGCAGTTAGAAACAAGCTTTAGTATTAGTAATGTGGATGTACAGACCCTTCAGGCTAGAAACATGAATTTATTGCTTAATTTCTTTTATTTACATTTGTTACATTTCCAGTGAGATGTTTTGTCAAGTTTATTCATGTCACTCAATATCACATACAGGCAGTGGTGGAAGAAGAACTCTGATCATTTACTTCAGTAAAAGAACAATATTCTCATCAGAATTTACTCCATCTAAACACTTTTAATTTTCTAAACAAAGGAACATTAATCAACCTGTGAATATTATCGACCTCTGCTGGTGGCCAGTAGGAATTACAATAGAAAGCTTTTTGTTAAGTGTGAGAACTGTTTCCAGAAACTCTCAGTACCTGTTGAAGTAAGCTCCGAGGCGTGTGTCAAAAAATAGGAATCTATTTCCAGTGAAGCTTTGTGTCGAGGTTTGATTTGTTCTGTCGAAATCACGTGACCAATGACGTGTGAAGCTTCGTTTCACACACACACACACACACACACACACACACACACACACACACACACACACACACACCCACACACACACACACACACACACACACACACACACACACACACACACACGTGACTGCTTCGAAATCTGATCCAGAGGTTTAAAAATGCACGAAACACGTCGACCCTTCGTGGGTTGTTGAAGTGGATTGTGAATTGCTACATTGTGGTGTGTCAAGAGAGTTAGAGTCAGGAGATCTGTCATGAAACCTGCTGCGATTTCTGGTGGCTCACCTGATAGGGTGTGTGCCTTGCAGTCAAGAGCCTTATGGCAGTGTCCTGGGTCTGAATCCAACTTGAGGTCTATGATACATGTTGTTCCTTTTCTCTCTCCCTTTCATTTTACTGCCCCAATTCATGAGTTTTACTTGTTTACTAATCCACAATGCCAAATTAAATCTTTATTGTTGTTGTTCTGTTATTTAGAGTATGCAGTGGAGGTTTATCTATTTATGTATCAATTTATTTATTTATTCATTCATTCATGAATTCATCTATCAATTCAATCATTTTTGCTTCAAGGAGATTCATGTGTTATTTGGTTGAGGAATGTTTTTGCATCACAGCGCTTTTCCTCACATTGACTAACAGATGTCCCCATGGAGATCTGATTTAAAAAGCTCTGAGTAATGAACCGTGTTTCAATACAACTGTGTTGAAAGCTTCGCTGGTTCGGTAAGGTTCACTTCGCCATCACTAGTTTGAACCAAATTATAAAGAAAATTCATATTTTCTCACTGACTCCTGCTTTTACCAAACCATGTATGTTTGCTGCAAAAATATGTCTGAAACTTTACTTCAGTTAAAGCATGGGAAGAAAACTCTGCTTGTCATATTGCCACATAAATAAAACAGTGTGTTACACTGGATAATGTATGATTATTGTAAGGATAAAATATGATTAAAATACAGTCAACATTTGTGTTGTGTTAGTTGATGGAGTGCAAAGTATCATCACTTTTCATGGCATGATATTCACTTGAACGACACAGTCTTGGGTCTGATACGTCCAGGCCTGGACCAAGAACACAGAGGCCTCTGGGTAAAAAATGCTGGAGTTCAGGACGAGCCGGCCTTGCCGCTCAATTCCCACGGTCACCGTCTGACCTCTGACCTCTGACCTCACTCGTTATTATCAAAACCTGCAAACCGATCATAATATTTTCATTTGGAAATGAGGCAATTCTGCCCTCATTGGTTTGTATTTCAACACACATAATAAATCTATTTATGTGATTTGGTTATTATTATTATGTATTTATTTTATTTTTTTTAAATACTGACGCCACAGTTGGTGGGAGTTTGGAGGCCCCCTGGAGGTCGGAGGCCGCCATTTTGAACCGAAGGTGACGCTCAGAGTTCAGAGTACAACAGTTAACGGTTGGATATTAGAGTCATTTATTTGTATATTAAACATCTAGCGATCCGTAATCAGATGTCAAATATGGTCTGAAAAATCTACGGAGAAGTCTAGAAAAACTTGAGTCTGTAAAAATATGGAATTGTGAAATGGACAAATGTGTAGGATCTGCCCTTAGTGTTTGCTACACTGAAGTTAGCCGTTAGCCTACTAGCTAGTAGCAGCTAGTGAGTGAAAAACATCAACTGGGGAAGCTCGGCATGTTGCATATTAATTTCCTCGACATGAAAAGGTTTGACAATCAATTGTCTTATTTAGCAATGGTTCAACTGTTAAATGTAGTGACGGTAGTCGTTTCCCGCTAGCTAGTGACTTAAAAACGTATTGTTCGTTGCTAAACAATAGCTACGCCCTGGGTTAAGTTGTCTGTATAGCTAACGTTATTTTACTGTAACGTAGTCATGGTAACACGGACACTTCACCCATTCTGAGTAAAATGTTTTAAGATAAAAAAAATCCTTCTGTGTGGGACATTTGGACATTTTCTATGGGAATAAGATAATTATATATTTTATTAATAGCTGTACACAACAGAATAAGCTCTTCGACACATTTTTATTTTCATATTCAAATTAATACATTATTATTCATATGTATGATACAGAATTTGATTATTGAATAATGATATTATAGTGCAATGGTTAATCTTAATTAGTCCTTGAGTTGAAAGTTGAACCATTAGCTAAAAATGTTTTAATATGCGCTAATCTTCCATTAGTTTTGGTTATACTGATATCAGCTGTTTTTCCACTTGTTAGTGAGAGAAAATGATCAAATGTGGTCCATGGTTTGGTTCATATCAATTTGAGGATCCTTGACATGAAAAGGTTTGACCAATTGTCAGTTGTAAGTATCAATAGTTGAACTGTCAAAAACCTCAAATTTGTTCTGTCACCTGTTTTCACAGATGTTCCTAAGTCATTTGCCTCTCAGGACTTCCGCAGTCATTTGTAAGATGACGAAACGATTGGAGGTCAGACTTGTACTGACTTCATGAATATTAAGAATGTAAAGAGGAAGGAATCAATCTTCTTTTAACAGCTTGACTTCTGTCTTCTGCTTTCTGCACTACGCACGGAGGAACATCACTTTTTTCTTATCTAATACGTGTTTTTGATGATATTGATATTTCTTTCATTTATTTCATTTTTCATTGTTCACCAGCTGATTGTTTGATTGTCTCTGGAGTCACACAGAGAGATGAGAGGAGCAGCTATGAGTTTAACAGCAGCATCAAGTGGATTTGTCGTCCTCCTCCTCACTGTACCAGGTACTGTACATCTACATTTACTCTTTAGGACGTTCAGTAAACTTACTGAGAACAAGCTAAAACAGGATGAATAAATAAATGCGCAGTTAATGTTGTTTTTCTAATGTGATTTTTCTCTATCATCACTTGTTTAGCTCTGTTTTTTTATTGTGCTGTTAAACCAAAGTCCTTAGATCTGTTCAGTGTTTTCACACATGCAGCATCTCTCAGTATCTTTGACCTCAACATTTTAGTGGTGAGTGTTATTGCACAGTAAGAGTTGTGCTGTTTGAATTAACTGTATAAATGGAGCTGTAAGTGGTTCATCTGAAGGATTCAGTAACTGAAGAGTTAATCTACAAATGTCTTTACATTCTGTTTAAGAGATCAAGATAACATCTACCAAGGCTCAAAATGAGGAACCAAATGTTGTCAGTTAATTTTGTTACTTGTCACAGTGACTTGCCTTTCCTTATCTAATATCACATGATGCAATCACGTCTGAATACATATGTACTTGCCATTGTAACTGACATGCAGCAATCAGGAGTAGCACTCCTAATTTTGTTGTATTTTAAATACAATGATACAACAAGTTATCTCAAAGCACTTTTCAAATAGAGCAGGTCTAGACCTGTCCAGACGTGTTTTTAACTGTGGGAACAGACTGGAGCCCTAAATTCTGGGAACAGGGAGCATGAGATGGAGTATGAGGTTGAAGGAGATCAGAGAGGTGTGAAGGACCAAGTCCATTTAGAACCTAATATGTCATTAAAAGCACCTTAAAGTCTGATCTGATACTGACAGGGAACCAATGAAGGGAAATTTTCTGGATTTATTAAAATTCTAGCTGCAGCAATCTGAACCATTCTAAAACTTTTAATATGAGCACGTGGCAGGCCAGAATACAAAACGTTACAATAATCAAGTCTTGATGAAACAAAGACATGAATTAAGATTTCAGCATCAGTCATGGACAGAGAAGACAGAGTCCTAGCTAAGTTACGTAGGTTAAAAAAGAAGGTCTTGGTTTAATGTGCTGATTGAAGGAAAGTGTAGATTTGAAATGTTCAAACTGGTGCCAATGTCGGGTCGGACCAACGACCAGCCTCTCAGTTTTATCAGAATTTAGGAGAAGAAAATTTTCAGACATCCAGATTTTCCCAGCAGACAAACAGACCTCTAAATTCATAATCTGTGAGGTATCGTCAGCCTTAATAGACAAAATAATGATTTAACCAAGAGGTGAAATATAAAGAGAGAAAGTCAGAGACAGAGCCCTGTAGCACTCCTTAATTCACAGCAGAGTATGTCGATATAGTTTTATTATAGGTGACACACTGTGTTCTGTCAGATAAGTAGGATAAGAAGCTGTATTAAGATTCACAGGTCCAATGGTTTTCTGTTAGGACTTCTCCATGTTTGAGTTAAGGAACAAAATTAACATCATGAGTTTAAAAGTGAATAAAAAGGAAGAGACCATAGGAGAAAAACATGACTTTACCTCAGTAACATATATATAACAATATATAACAACATGACAGACATCTTTGTCTTAAACTCACAGTGAGAAGTGTTGGAGCCAAGTAGTTTTACAAATGTATTTTAGTCATGTAGCAGGTTTCCATGTTGAAGAACCTCCATAAAGTTTCTCTCTGTTGTTTTGAATCTGATTGTGGTTTCTGCTGTGCTCTGTGTTACAGTGATACAGGGTCAGAGTCGCTGGGGAGTGACTTACACTCACACTCACATCTGTGCCTTTAAAGGATCAACAGTGAAAATAAGCTGCAGCTACAGTTACCCATCCATAATAAATGGTCATGATACTACAGTTGAGGAAACATTCTGGTTTACTAAATGGATTAATGGTGCTGTGGATCTGAGAACAGACTCAGACTACAGAGGTCGTGTGGGGCTCACAGTAATAATTCCCACTGTGTTCAGGTCTGAGGTCAGTGATGGTGAAGATCTGTCCTGAAGCTTTTGGTGAGTCTTCATTCTCCTTGTACCAGGTGTAATTAGCTGCTGGGTTAGCATCACTGCTACAGGTCAGATTCACTGAACTGCCCTCCACTATCTCACCAGAGGGACTCACTGACACAGAGAGAAGCTTTGGAGCATCTGGAGGAGGAATATGAGGAGACGTTAACATCAAATATGAAAATGTGTTTTATTCTCATTTTAACTTTAAATCAAGGACGACTTTATAAAGTGGAAGTGAATATTAATTAGTCAATAGTTTATACAAAGGTTGCTCAAATATTAGACATAAACTGTGTAGTGGAAGGTTTAAGTTTCACATTGTATTAGTGACACTGTGGAGTAAACTCACACACTGGAGGGGAGGGGTGATCCTCATGTCCTTTAAGAGCACAGGAATAGCTGTTGTCATCATTAACAGAGACTCTAAGGGAAAATGTTTCCTCCTTCATTTTCAGTCCGTTCTTGTACCAGACATATGAAGGACGACCAACTACTTTACAACTGCTGTGACACTTCAGCTCTGTCTGGGTTGATGATCTTTCCACCAGCACCTGGAGGTCTGGACATGTGACGCAAGAACAGACATTAACTAAAACTAGAAAGTACAATCAAGCAACACACACAGATTCTCAGTCGTTAATGATTGGAACCAAATTGATAATATTCCAGTGAAAACGTTACCTGTGACAGACAAAGTGACTCCAGGTTCACCTTTATATTTCCCACCTGGTTGGTTTGTTGTGATTCTGAACTTGTACTCAGCTGAGTCGCTCTCTCTCAGGTCTCTGATTCTCAGAGTGCAGCTGTTCCTTGTACGACAATTTATACT